AAATGTTCATTGCTCTAAGCTACTCATTCACTGTTGAAAAGCTGTATGCAGTGTAAAGGAAGGTTTTTTCGAAAAATCAAAAAATTTTGCTTAATCTGTATTTAGAAACTTTAATCTATAAGCCGCTTATGTACAACGTATGTTATCTTTGGAGATCATTTATGCAAATGGGTGGAGCTTTGTCTTAGCACTTACAGAACATCAAACAGCTGTCAATTCACTCAAGACAAATGGATCTAAAAAAAGAAAAGAAAAAAAAAACACTCGGCAAGCAGCAGCGTGTGGAAATGAGCAATCCAATTTAGCTGACTTGGCATTAAATAACCGCAAGGAAATGTACTGTAAGAAAATGTTTAGGATTTACCGCAGGCCACTGCATCTCAATATGTAAGCCTTTGAGAGCTCAAACATTGTAGAAGTCTGACATTGTTTAATTATAAAAAAACACTGCCAACAAATCATTCTGCTTCAGTTAACTCTAAACAAAAGCAGGAAAGACCCAACAAAAATCCATACAAGCTTTAAAGGCTTAACAAAGCTTAGTTGCTACTGGATAAGCAAAGTTTTACTGATCTTTATTTGAAAAAGAGGGGACATTTAGGAGCAAGTCCTACAATTGAAACAAGTGCCTGTAATCATTCATGGGGGGTGCGGTGGTGGCAAAAGTATTCCGCTAACCATGAGAATTTAGAAGATCTACATAATATTGATGGATTTCAGCAGCTCTACCTGGTTGTAAATCACAGGGGCTGTGCTGGAGAGGTGGGAGGGGATGAAGATTTCTCTTGCTGTGTGCAGCCAATAACTTTCTGCTTTTTAAAAGGACTGAGTATCTGCTGACACTGCCGTTCAGATCTATAACCTGGGAACATGTGTATCTGTCATTTGTTTCCTCCTCTCCTCAACGCTGGGGAAATTTTAAGGCTTGTGCTGTAGTGGTGAGATGAATACCAATGATTGCCTACTCATGTCTTTATTAGGCAGCCTCTCTGTAAACCTGTTTTTATCATTAAATGATTTGCTGTGCTCGGAGAACATCTTTTTATTGATTTAATATCAACTCCAATAAAGCAACTTTGTACACAAGAACAACGACGACAGGCACAGACATTTCTCTTGTTCATAGGTCTTAAAGCACATGGAGGTGAGATGGAACCACAAATATGATGGATAAACTAAATCCAGCTATAGGTGTGTTTGATGGCTTTTAAAATTAAATGAAAAAAAAAAAAAAAACTAAACGATCAATGAAGAAATTTGGCTGTTCTAGCTTAGTGAGGTCCCCATCCACTATCTTCCTGCAACCTGTCAAAGTAATAACTGAAGGGGCTATTCTTCCCTTCTCTGTAGGAATCACAATACCGGTATGAAAAAAAAAAAATGTTATTACTATATTTTTGTTATTACTGTTTTTATAAAGACATTTTTTTGTGCCCCCCCAATTCTTTTTGCTCTCTGTACGGTGTGTTGTGTGCCAGCAATGCATAGAGTCAAATTTACATTTCAAAAGTTTCGTTAACAAAAGTTCACTAACTGTATTACCTGGACAACGGACATTTTTGTTGCATTTTAGGAGCTGCTAAGCAGCGGAACCACTCATGAACCCGGTTATTATCACATATATTCATATCAATGCTATAACCAACAATAAAAAAATATATACACATTACATAACAACCTGAAATATATTATCCCAAATAATTTTTAATAAAACTTTATTGCCCTTTATAAAGTAAGCAAAGAAATTTAAGAAAGCATGTCATGGGAAAACTTTTTATTTATTTATTTTTTTAAGAACTATAAATTAATCTTTTTGCAAGTATTTAGGTTTGTATTCAAGTATGTCAGACTGTCTACTTATGGGACTGTATTTCATCCTTCCTACTGGTTTTCGACGCCTTTGAGGTCAAGCAGACTCAGGAAAATAGGCCATAGCTGAGTTTGCATACTAATTTGTTTAGTTCTGCAACCAAAACAGTGTTGAAAGAGGCAACAACGGATAAAAACCAAACTGAATAAAACACTTATTCTCATAGAACTTTACAGGCAGATCCAATCCACATCTAGCTGTATATGATGCAAGTCAGAAGAAATACAACACAAAATCTGCTGGTAACAAAAATGAGAGTATTTCTAATGTGACCGACCTAAACAACAGGTTTTGTCTGTTTATTGCATCACTGAATTAGGTAAAAATCAAATAAGAACAAAAATGGCTGTTAGCTTTTTAAACCTATTTTACTGGGAGGTGTGCAGGGCCTTTTATAAAAACTGCTGCAACAAATAGATAGTATGAAGAGTTTTTGGTTTCTAATTGCTTTACTTCTTTGACCTTTTGACTTTGGTTAATTTCTACTGGGTGTTTTATGTGAAAAAAAAAACATAAGTGCCATAGGATCAAAATCTATAAATTTCTTGGACATGTTTAGGTGAGAAGTTGATAGTTGTCCTTAAACACACTTTACAAGTGAATCTGTTTTGTCCTTGTGAGCTTTAAAGAGTTATGAAGGACGCTGGATTTAGAAAAGTTGGCTGCCTTTCAGAGATCTCAAAGTTAAGATTTACTAAAATCTAAGGCTGACTCAGTTAATATTCAATGCTAAACACTGTTTCAAATTTCAATTCGAAATGATTCTGTCTTCCTTTTAAAAGTGTGAAACCATGTTTTATGGTTGCTGCTCTCACACACAGGAGGACAAGGCCACAGCAGAAGGCTTGAAATAAATATTTTGAATATTGTTAGTTACAGCCGTAAAAAAGAATTAGGAGTCAGATAAAACTGATTGAGATCAAAGCTTTGCAAATACCAAAGGAAGGAAGTTTGGACTCAAAACCCTGACCAGTGCATCTCAATAATTTGGTCCAAAGTGTAGAATATTCATATCAATAATAGAATCCTATAAAAAATGAATAAATAAAAACAAAAAAACTAATAAATACAGTAACTATATTGTTCCAGTGGTAAGATGGAAGCCATCCATGTCTTTGCATCCTGCTGTTTAAGATACATCACAGTAATACGATTACACAAAATAAGAAGCAACTAAACACATTACTGCAAGGCCAGTCTAAGCATAAAGCGTTACCACAAACTTGATTTATAATGTTCAATAACAACTGAATGCTGCAGCCGGTAACCTTTATACTTTATTGAAAGTAATCTACCAGTAATCCTCCATAACCTTAGGTATAATCTTGTTAAGGCTCTTGATTCACTACATGTCTTATTAAAAAAAGGTAACACAGTCTCTTACAGTTTGCTGCATCAGACAAACACACATTTTCTGATTGGGTACCTTTTACACAAAAATATTAAATTATTAATATGTACATCAATAACCAATTTCCTGCCAACAGTATCTATTTCCCACTTTTAAATAATTGTGGAAATGCAGATAACATTAACATTTTTTTTCCTTTGTGTTGTATCCGACATTTTCTGAAGCCATTTGCTTATTATAAACAAAATGATGCAATCTAATTCATGCCTTTTTATAGGAAATGTGGTAATATTTAGGAAATTTAGGTGGTTATATTTAGGAACACATGAAGTTCTTGTAAAATATTCATAACTAAAAAACACAGTTAACATAAGTTGAAATTAACAGGGACCATTCTACTCTATCAGGCATTTTATGTCAGCATTAGTGCTTTGAGTTATCTTTTATATTAGTTATAAGTAAGTTATTTTTTTCCTAAAAATGAGTAATTTTTTTTCTTGAATAGAGCAGATAAGTGCAACACTTTGCCAATGGAATAAAAAAAAAAAAAACTGCAGACACTTATTTCAAGTGCTTCTATCTTATTTTAATAGTAAAAATGCTCATTCCATTGGTGGATCATCTTATTTTCCTACATAAATTGAAGGTTTAAAACGCTTAATTTCAGACATTTTTACTGATTTTTCAGAACATTTTTGCAGTGTACAGTAGTTCTGCGGGGCAAACTAAACAGCACAAGCATGTGCTTAATAATGTCATGTCCTAACCAACATCTACTAGAAGTTTTCTTGTTTTAACAAGCACATGTGTAAATTCTAAGATATCAAAGTCATGCTAACCACAAACAGACTTAAAACTCATACTAAGTAACAGATTCCAAATATGCAGGACAACGACTGGTGGGACATTGATTTGCATCTGACTTGAAATGTGCTTATGAGGCAGACTTCCAAGTGCTTAAAAAAATCAGCACTCCTACTACAGGTAGCCCTAGGTGTGAGCTGCCAGAACTGACAAAGACTCCTGGATACTGTAGGTGTTGGCATCTTTTCAGAAAAACTGAGCGAGCCTCAGATTCAATCCTGTTTTTTTTTTTATATTGTATGCCATAAAAATTAAACAGATTCACATTTAATTCAGCACTAAGAAAGAATGAACAAGACAAGCTAATAAGTTAAATATCTCATAAAAGCAATGCCAGTGCAAAACCACATCCCAAAAATTAAGATAACATGAAATTGAGGGAATCATTCCCTCCAACTAGTATTGAGGGCACTTTTGCTCCCCACTGGTCCAATGATTTAATTTTTTTATTTATATTGCTCAGCTTCAACAAGTTTAAATGAAAAAAGGGAAAAGTAACTTCCTGCCCAATTTTATTCTATGTTGTACGGATCTATATCTCTATTTATTGTGCTTTGTGACTACGTAAAAATAAAGGTATAGATCATTGATACTGAACATGTTGAAACTTGTATATAGATTACAAAAAGAAGCAACATTTACCAAGTTCTTTGGACATCTTGAAATATTGAGGACCTGTGCTGCAGATGATACATGTAATGAGTTTCATGGTAGGTTTGAATACAAAAAAAAAAAAAACATCTTCTACAACCCATCCTTTTGCACAGAGCCTCTCATGAATCCATCAGCACTGCAAATCCTTAAAGTTCCCAAACAGGCTTTGGAGAGGCACAGATTTGAAACCCCAGTCAGTGGAAATGAAGTCAGACAAAACCTCTGCAGATGTTGAAAAAGAAAGCCAGCACAAGGTCTTACCAGTGTTGAGCGTGCCTGTGATAAGTCTGAACAGGTACTGTGCGAACTTGAAGATCTCACGCTTGCACCGTTTCCTGCAGCTCATCTTTGCTTTGAGGGGTCAGCAAAAAAACCAAGACTCAGCCTTCGAGTTAAAAGAACAGAAATATCCAGGGAAGACTTAGTTTGATGGAGTGCCACTAAAGGGCAAAAGTCCACTTCGGTCCTCCAGACTTCTGGCTGTGTCAGCAAGGCCCTCGGAGTCTGCCTGCAGCTGGGGTGATGCTCATCAGTGAGTAGAGGTAAGAAAAAGGAGAGAGCGCAAGTGTAAAGGTACCCAAGTGTGGCTCCACGTTATGCCTGTCTGATCAAACCGGGAAAGAAGTGTGGTCTTTTGTCAGGTCATTAATGTTTGCTTTTCTGGCTCTTTATCCTTCAGAAGATAAAAGAAGCTCCTATTTTCTTTTCTTCCAAAAACTCACACCTCCTCTTCACACTTTTCCACTCCTCAAACAAGAGACTACCCTGTTGGCTTTTCAACTCTGTGGGTCTCTCCCCCTCTTGTCTCTCACAAACAAACACACACTCCCACACTTGATCTCGTAGTGAGCCT